AGCTGGAAGACAATCTTATGGTGGTTATCAGGAGGTTGTGGTGGATCTCTTAGTTATATCAACAGTTTTATAAAATTTATCTCAAAAGCCGGTAATCGACTACAATAAATCTAAAAATGTTACTTGGGTAATGACGTGTCATCCGAACTATACGTGGGATATTGCTACCATCCGGGTTACCGTTTGTTTATGGTATTTGTTTGTTAGGGTTAACTTCAATTTTCCTGAGAAACGTAGGTCTCTTTTTTTCAAAGATAAGAAAGTTTGTTTTTAAATAATTTGAGGACCACCCCAGGCTGAATAGATCAAGTTTTTGATATTTTTATTTTTATTAAACTTTAGACATTAGACATTCATTAAACAAAAGTATCAGTAGAACAACTATTGTTCAGCGCAAAAAAACTCTATCTTTTACATGTCTTGGTGTTTGAAAATACTTAAATATGTTCGTTAATATTTACAAATATTTGATGATATTTTCAAATATATTAAAGTTATCTTGCCCCTTGGGCCACCCTAGTGTTGACAAGTACCAAAAGAAGATATTTTTTTAGCACAAAAACTTAATCGGAGTCACCCTCTATAAAAAACCATTTTTAGTGTGTAACTTTTTTAATTCAAATTTCTCATGACAGTTATCTTCGAGAGACTTTTGAAGCTTTTTGTTATAAAATAATGCTTGTATCTCTTTTTATAAATAAGTTGTACCCAGTATTATTTTGAACAATAAACAAAGTACAATTGATTCTATAGAAGTTAAAAAATATCATATCTTTAAATTTTCTAACCAGATATTAACCTTTGAAAAGAGCATGTTGTTATAAGCAAATCTTCAATAATTCTTGAACGGCAAAAGATGCACAGCAAAAATTACGGCTAAGAAATTTGAAATAAAAAAGTAGAGCAAAAAACTGTTTCTTTAGAGACACCAGCTAACAACAACTTACAGTTAATAATTTTGTAGAAGAACCTTTTTTTCTACGGTTTAAATTCTGTTTGCATGAGATTTTTTTGCGTCCGTTTTTTTTTTTTAATTATGCGATCTCAAATGAGCAAATCCACGCAAAATAGCGAAAAATAAAAGAATTTTCGATTTTACCTGTAAGAATTCCATGAAACTTCGCATAATTATTCACTATTTTATAATTTTTAAACTTTTTTCACACAATATTTATATTGCCCACAAACTTTGACATTTATACCGGGTTCGCTTTGTCTTCTATTCGTTGCTATTTCTTTTATTCTCAAGGAAATTGAAGAAAAGCAAATGCGAGGTTAGTTTTTGCGTGGAGTGGTCTATATCTCACTACTTCAGCCCATAACGCCGCCTTATGGACGGTACTGGCGAATCCTGTCAGAAACTTCTTCATCATCATCACGGTATACAGAAACTCATAAATTAGCTCAGTGCTTATTATTAGCTTAGTGTCGCGTTTCTGCTTCGGCCACTACACCAAAACCAGGTGATCAATGTAAGATCAAAGAAATGATTTGTCAACTTGAGAATATTGCCTTGTATTTGACGCTAAGTAACCAAAAATGGTATACTCACTGCTGAGATCTTGAGCTATAAAGAAAATTTAGCAAATATGTACAGTTTTTGACCATTCACTAATACACTGAAGTCGCTTTTACGCGTAAAAAACATGTAAAAAAACCGTGGAAATTTCGGAATCCGTGTAAATTCCAGAATCCGCGTGAAAAAAAAACCACGTAAAATCTGAAATCCGCGTAAAAGAAACCATGTTATTTACGAAATCTACGTAAAAGAAACCGCGTAAATTCCGAAATTCACGTTAAAAAAAACGAGTTAAAATCGAGATCCTCGTAGAAAATTTTTTCCCATGAAAAGTGCTTTCGAATAGTTTTCTTAGGTTACAAAAAAATCTTGTATATATTTGTTGGACAAGTTTTCTTAAAAAATCATTTTTTTTGCGATATTAAGAGGTTTTATGAGCATGAGCATGATTGACCGCCCGCGGTTGCTACTCTGTTATTGTCAGATCAGCTGCATGTACACAGAGAACCCACAGATGATGTTTGGGAGTAACATTCATCCTCAATGTGAAAAAACTGGAGAGCTAATATTTAGCAATAACAGTGCCGGCCATGTCCGAATGCAGTTCAAATGGGAAGGAATGTGTTGACGTGATACTCGCTGTGCAGGAAACCGAGAAGTCCTCTGCGCTTCCACGAGAAATCACTGGGATGTTGGATGTGGGGAATGATTTGCAGCAGGGATCGTTTTGGTAAACTAATGCAGATTGTAGCGATTTATAATAGGTACACAAATGCATAATCTCACACGTGCAGACACACACACACACACACACACACACACACACACACACACACACACACACACACACACACACACACACACACACACACACACACACACACACACAGAGACACACACACACACACACACACACACACACACACACACACACACACACACACACACACACACACACACACACACGCACTCATGACAATAAACAGAACATCAAATGATAGATCCCTCGAAAAGAACTAAACTTATCTTTGTTTGCTTCTTCCGTCATGTTACAAGTTACAACTGTCCGATAGTGGTTTTTCCTTATGCGTTAATCTCTTCATGGAAACTTAGCTTGAATTTACCACAAACTTATTAAAACGCGTTTTTCATTCGCGAACGAAATAAACGCGATATTTAAGAAATTGTATGGACATAAATGCTTTTTTTCAAAAACTTGCACACATAAACAATTCTCAGGGAATCATTGAAAAATAATAAAATATTGGAAAAAAATAAGTTCTCTAAAAAATTCTCAAAAAACGCTATTATGAGACAATTTTGTTCAAAAACGCCTATTTTTAGAAAGTCTTTTTGTTTTACAAACATGCTTAAAATATGTATATCTTTCATTCTAGGGTTGAGCACTATGACTTACAAAACATTGATTTTTTTTCGGGACAGCCTACTAACAGATGAATTACACCTCAAATTGAAGGGTTTTTATTCAGCTTTCAAATGACACAGAGGAATCTGTAAAACATTTTGGTTATCCTGAAACAGACCACTAGGGATTCTCCTTGTGCAGAATAAATTTTCTTATTTCAAGTTCCATAGTAAGAGACGAACCAGCTAAGGGCTGAAAGTCTCTATTATAAAGCAAAAAAAGAAAGAAGGTCATTCTTCTTCTTTTTTCGCTTTTCAAGCTTATTGCTTATCGCATATTAGCTTATTGCGTGCTCTCAACTTAGTGTTCTAGAAGATGCACTGCCACAGTTATTTATTGAGAGCTTTTGATGCATGCTACAATTTTTGCATTAGTATAATTGTGTGGCAAGTACAATCATACTCTATGCCCAGGGAAGTTAAGAATTTTTCCAACCCGAAATATTCCTAGACCGTACCGGAAATCGAACCCAGCCACCTCCAGCATGGTCATGCTTTATAGCGGCACCTTTACCGACTAAGCTAAGGGAGACCCCAAGGAAAGAAGTTCCATAGTCTATAACTTTTCACCAGCTACGCATCAAAGTACAATAAACATAATGATACCAAAAGGTTTCTAATTCTGATCGCTAGGAACGCAATGGTGCCTTGAAACCTGCGTTCAAATTTACTTTTAACCAGGTTTTACAAGAGCGTTTCACCCCGTTGAAATCATGATGAACCGTTGTTCTTGTTACACAATCAACCAATGCACACATAGTACAGGCTCTGCACTATCAAGTCGAGAAAAAGTACTAAGCTTAGGAAAGGCGTAAGTTGGGGCGTTATAGTCAAAGAAGAAGATGAAATAATCTTAGTAAAAGTCTTTATTTTGATTCAGTGTATTTACCCATGGCAATGGTATACCATCATTATCAAGATGTACAATTTTAATTTTTTTACAATAACCGAACATTCGTGTTGTTTATCCAAAGGTTCCAAAAATAAACGTTGAATAAATACAAATCGCAAATAGATGTAATATTTTGGAAGGTGTCTTTAGAGCGATTGAGTTCCTCATTCTGTTCCCGCCGGATTGAGAAACTAAAAATAGGTCAGTGTTACAAGTCGTTCTACATAAACAACCATAACTCAGCTGTGCTCTGTGTCAGAGTATCAGGTATTGGGATCGCGTGCCAAGGGTGGTCACGAAAGATGGCGTATGGATACAGACGATAGACACAGTGGCAACAGCATCGGTGACGTTGCCGTTCACTTTGGCGGAACGTTCGCGGGTGCCAAAGTGACGAATATGAACAGTTACTCTCTTGTACTTTAAAATAGCAACGTTCGAGATGATTGTTCTGTGTTGGTGTATTTTCAATGATGGTGGTGGTCTTGATTAAGGATGATGTTCATCAATTAAAAAATCTACAATATTGATTAAAGCTAATTGAGTTGTGCAATCTCCTTGCCGAGTAGCGAACTAAGCTGTTTTTACGTTCCGCTGGTTTTTAACATGTTGAATATTTTTGTTTGAAAAAAACTGACCTGATCTACAGCTCAGAGTAAAACCCACGATGACGACGATGACTAACATCATAGTAAACAATCAAGTCGAAAACCACCTACGCGATGATGGGTTAATTTTTTAGTGCCGTGCAGCTAAGTCCAATGCTGAAATATATTCTATGGAGCTGCGTAGCAACTACACTGCACTGCTAGTCAGATAAAGCGTTTGGCATCATATGAAATTGTCTCACTTTTATGGCGCTATGACTTGTTGACATACACATTTATTAATGTTGATTATATCAATTTGCTTGCCGGTGGTTCAGCTGTTTTGTTATTCATGAGTCGGCTGCAACAGAACCCGACTTGTGGCTGTTGTTTTCGGTAATTTGATATATTCGGTCAACATATTGCCCCAAGTCATTGTCACTCAATCGAGCTGACTCGTAGTGAATCCCTGAACATATTTTTCATCATTTAAGAAGCTGCTGTAAACAGAATATTCAATCATCATAACTGCTGACCATTTTAACTAATTATGTTAAATTGTATGTTTCTTTTGCAGACTGATAGTGATATAGCATGCGAGGAAGCATCCAGGTTAACGGCCGATCTACAGGATGAGGTGTCACCTGAAGATGACGATGGAATGTGTGAATACCATGATATGCCGCCTCCACCGGATGGCGGGTAAGTTACAATCATTCAGCTAGTTTACGAATTGTGTTTACAAGGATACACACTTAGAAATGATTACCGACGTCGGTAATTTTTACCGAACTGTCAACAGCTGAACTGTTCGGTAAAAATTCGTTAGTTTAAAATCTTCAAAACAAGGAAAACTTCTCCGAATGCCAAGACTCGATCGAGTGTTCTGAAATTTAAATTAAGTGAAACATCTTTTGAAATAAGGGTCAAAGTTTTACCAAACGTACAGCTGTTGAAAGTTCGTTAAAAATTATCCTGATTTTTGCACTCGAAGAAAAAAAATGGTATCCCCTTGTTTATTTTGATACGGTAAGATACTCTAATAGGTTTGTTAACTCAAAAATTAATTTCAATAATTAACTATTTTTTGACAAGGGGCCCCTAATTTTTTTCGAGTGCAAAAATCAGGATAGATGGCATCATTGATAAGCTCAACTATTTTCGAGAAATTTTTAGATTGCCATGCGTAATTTAGAATTGGTGTATCAACATGTTAATGCATTATTATAAGAAATGTATCCGTAAATTGAGAGATAAATATATACAGGGTGACTGGTAATTTGTGTAGACCACATTTGCAGCAAAAAATTGTATAGCAAGGTAGGTCGAAAAATCATTTCTTACCGATTTATTGATCTATTTATTTTACATTGCCGAACAACACTACCACTTTTTGCTCGGGCACTTGTGAATATTACCAAAGTCCACCAGGAAGTAAGCATTGCTAGGGTACTATGATTAAATCCATCCGAAAGTAAGCCTGTGGCGCCAATCGAATAGACTGGTTAGTAAACAAAGATTAATCATAGATGCCAAGCAATGCTTACTCTCTGGTGGGCTTTGGTAATATTCGTGAGTGTAAAATAAATAGATCAATAACTCGTTAAGAAATGATTTTTCAACCTTCCTTGCCAAACATTTTTTTCCTGCACCTCCTTTCGGGTGTAACACGAATCACCAGTCACCCTGTAAAATAAATTTATTTTATGGTAATGGTTATCCTTATTTTCGAATGTTTCTTGGTCGGACTGTTCTTCATCGTCTATGTATCACCTGAAGTTTTACGGCTACCCTCAACTAAAATTTTTTCGAGCACACTTTCGCAGTTGATAATTGAGAGCTTTCTAACCGTATACTATTTTTGCCTTTACATCGTGTGGCAAACAGAATGATATTCTATACCCAGGGATGTCGAGAAATTTGACCGAATCATGAAACAAACCCTCCACTTCAGGCATGGTAGAAGTATAAGGGATCCAAAAGCAATCTGTGTTTTCTACGTTGGCTTCTTTCCTTGAATTTTGAGTTACGTTACTGACTGGACTCTTAGGCCCTTTACTACATGTTTGGAGCAATACTCTCGCATTTGGAACATCATTACATCGCTAATTATGCAACTGTGTAATACAGCATTAAAACAGGACTTCCTTTAGCAGTGTTGCATGCTTTAGTATTGAATTTTTTTTTAAACAAAATTACATATTATAAGTGCATTGGAACGCATTGATCATTCTTAGGGTATGTTTCGGAGCAAATTTTTATACGATGTCAAAATTAAGAACCACTATCGTTCAATTAACACGTGGAATTGACTGATCTATGTTTGTAGGGTGACTATATGTAGAAATTGACCTCATTAAGTGAGAACAACTCTTTTTTTTGGTTCCATTTGGGGTCTCAAACAACTGTGCAAAATTTGGGGACGATTGGTTGTAACCCGGCTTTCTGCATGACGTTTGAAATTTGTATGGAAATTAGTATGGGAAAACCTGAAACAGATGTGACCAACCAGTAGTGGTAGATAAACCAGTTTTTGTGTATGGATATTTTTAGTAACTCGGCGATTTCTTTTCAAATGTTAATTCTTTTGATGAAATTTTTTCTACATTTTCTTTCTTGTAGTAATAGCGATGTTATGAAGAAATAATTTATCGAAGAAAGTGTTCCATTATCGATATATTTGCTTAAAAGTGTATTTCTTCATACATTATAAAGTTGGTTTTCCACCAGCCCATACAATCGAAGGCGGTGTTCTCTCTGGTGGTGAATACTTTCAGAAGCAGTACGAAACACCTAATTAAATCAATTTTGCTAATTAGTTACACAAAAAATTGGAGCAGGCGCCGTCTCTGTGCCCAAGCGAGAAATCAGTGCTGCAAAATATCAATATCAATTCTCACAAAATGCTGATTTCCACTAGCCACCTGATGTCAGTATCAGCTCACATAGTTCCTATATCAATATCACTCTCCTCAATTTCAGTGCGCAAATTACATTGACATCGTAATGAGACCTACTGATATTCAAAGTTCTGTAGCAGATATTTCTGATTTACGCTAGCTGATCGAGAACAGATCTTTAGAAAACTCAGAACAATGCACTAGTTTTACTAAATACTTTATTAATTGAGAAAACTGTTAGATTTTCATCTGTCAACTAGTGATATTCATATGAATTCCTATGTCAAAACCATAACCCCCGATATCATGCATGTTACGAATATCAGTGTCGAAAGCGAAATTCAGTGCTGGAGCAATATCTTACGTCAATTGACATTGTTGACAGCACGCAGCACTTTGAAGAAATGAGAAATTCTTTAACGTATTTCCGTGAAATGTTGAATCTCCCTGATAACGTCTGAATATTGTGCCATATTTTCGCAAGTGTTCCAATAACAATAGTGTTTCTGAATTTGCAATTTATTTTCAACTCCCTTTAATTAAGGTATATTCACATATTTGCATCCTCAAATCAGCTTAAAATTCACGGAAAACTATTAATTTTCCTAAAGATTTAACTCATTTGCACCTACATATACTTGCAGTAGTGATCCTATAGTAATTAATGGAATCCAGTAGAAACCAGTAGCATCCACTATTAAGGACTGTATCGAAAATAAGTTGTAAACAAATGTTTGCTTCCACATCAATACATAATTATTTTTAAATAAATGAAAGTTCTGTCGTGTCATTCTTTTTTTAAATTTTGATAATATAAAACAAACCAAAAGATATTCTTTAAGGTACTGGTATCATGTTAGATTTAGATTTAGATATAAGCTTTTTTTATTTATTGACTAAAGTTTCTTAAACGCATTTACTTGGAATCTTTTTTTCTGGAAATGTATTTTTTACATTAACATTTATAACATTCCATTTTGTGCATTTTCGATGATTTTTTTTCAAATAAACCTGCTATTCCAGCAGACATATTTCTGACAGATTTTCGAACATCTTAATTTATTTTGTAATGTCAAATTTAAGTGAAAATTTTCCTAATGGAACATAATTATCTCACACGTTATTTTGATTAGTAGTGACGTTAATGCTTGGCATACACAGTTTTGGTCACGAACTGCTCATTTGCTAATAACTTTGCACACAGTTGACAAAACATAGTTCTGTTTGAAGCAGTAGATAGAATAAAGTTTAAGCTTGTAAGGGGCTATTCATAAACAACGTAGACAGGGGGGGCAATCATTCACGGCCCATACAAATTTATTATTTTTTGTATGTACAATTGTCTACGCAGGGGGAGGGGGGGGGGGGTCAATAATCCCAAAAAACTGTCTACGTAGTTAATGAACAGCCCCGAATAAGTAAGTACGAAAAAGTATATTTTAATTCTACCAATAAACTGTACCGTAAAACGGGGTAACATTGATAATTTTTTAAAGTATATTCTAAATATTTTTTACAGCAATGAATATTTTTTAAATTTAATATTTTTAAAACAAGTACTGAGGATCCAGGAGTTAATTCGTTAGTTATTAGTTCAACGGAAATTAAAGCATATGCATTTTTTGTTAAGTTGTTTGACCGAACATCAGTATTTTGATTTGGGGTTACTTTGATAATGATCGATGAATGTAGAAAAAAATCGTGAAACTCAAACTTTTCAGTTCTTTAAATATGAAACTTTGAATGAGTATATCTGAGAAAACATCATAGGCAATAATAATACAACATTGAATTTGTGATGGCTATATCGGAAATACATTTCATAAATGATGGTTTGAGTGCTTTTTCAAACAGGCGAAAAATACAAAAATGGTTTTTTAATCTGTTTGTAAAATATGTACACACACTATATAAAAACTATATACGATATCAACGGAAATACCCTAAGCTACAATATGGAACCAATATTTCTAATTTAGAGAAAGCGCAGCGAGTAAATTTAATCTTTACATTATACTATCAATGTTACCCGCATTATCAAAGATACCTCGTTTTACAGTACTTGTTTTTGCGTTGTAAAAATCAAGTGAGAAATGCTCACTGCATATCTCGGACTTAAAGTCTAAGAAATCATTGGAGTTTATTCAAATGTTAAGATTTACCTGTTCTTTGCATTTCTGTAGTAAGCTATGATCCTAATCTATCAATTACTTTAAAGAAAAACAAATTTCAACATCTGAGTGAAAAGTTATTAACAAATGAGCAGTTGGTGTGTACAACTGTGCATGCCAAGCATGGTGACGTTTTCATGGTGTATTTTGTTTTGAATAATTTCGAATACAGCATTTTGAGAAAATTCCAAGCCTCGTCGATTTGCATTGAAGTTGGAGTGGGCTCAGCTGTCTAATAATTCCATTAGTCCAATGCAGATGAATTGGAAACGGTATGGAATTTACCGGTAAATGTCTCCTAATTTTCAATAAAATTTCATTCATCCGTAAGTGGCGCCACTAAAGGTAGAGGGTCCATAAGGTGCAAGCTTTCCATACATAAAACTGCGGATATTGAATGTTAATGCATAAACGTATTCCTCAACTACTGTTACCAATTTCCCTTGACGCATTTTTTTTTCTCGTTCTATTTTTTCATTCCAGCTACGGGTGGGTGATTGTGTTTGCGTCGTTTATGTGTAACATGATAGTGGACGGTATTGCGTATACCTTTGGTGTGTTCCTGAATGAATTCGTGCAGTACTTTGGCGAAGGCAAGGGTACGGTAGCGTGGGTGGGTAGTTTACTTAGTGGAATGTACTTAAGTGCTGGTCCCGTGGTGTCGGCACTGGCGAACAAATATGGCTGCCGGGCAGTCTGTATAGCTGGTAGTATAATCTCCAGCGTGGCATTTGCTCTCAGTACCTTAAGCCCGAATGTGACCGTGATGATGCTGACCTACGGTGTGATGGGAGGTATCGGATTTGGCTTTATCTATCTACCCGCAGTCGTAGCCGTCGGGTATTACTTTGAAACGAAACGTTCCTTGGCAACCGGCATCGCCGTTTGTGGTTCCGGTTTCGGTACCTTTGCCTTTGCTCCGCTGGCTAACATGTTACTAGAGCATTTCGACTGGAAGAGTTCCACACTAATATTAGCTGGTCTAATATTGAACTGCGCAATTTTCGGTGCTATGATGAAACCTCTCACGTAAGTTCCTCTGTCCACATAGTGCCCACAGGTACTTATAAGCATCCTTTTCCGTAGCTATCCAAAGGAAGATAAGGTTAAACCGTTAATGCAGCGCATGTATGAGGAAAAACGAATGCAAATGGAGCGTGGCTCAATCGGTGGTTCCTACTTCATGGTGCAGTTACCAGACGGTACGATGGAAAAAAGACTGAAAGCTCCTTTAAATGCCGATCCGGGCGTACATTCGAGTTTGGCTCTCGATCAGCTAGCCGCACAACAGGGAATGACTAATGTAGCCACTCTGCCTACTATCACCGAAGCCAAGGTCCAGGAACAAAATGGCTCCAGTAATTCTTCATCCGAGTCCGAGCATATAGAAATGAAGAAACCATTGCAAAGGAAACGCACTACCAACTCCGAGTCGGATGCTAACGATTACAGTATAAACAATATGCCGCGCAACGCATCACAACCTGCATTCACCAGTAATCAGTCGGGTGAGTCTGTCCCAAATAGTTACACAAGTTTACAAGCTTAATTGATATTCTTGAACAGGTATTCCAAAGAACGGATCCGTTCCAACGTTTGATCGTGTCCGTAAGCATTCGACAGGTGAAAGATTCAAGCCATCCTTAGCTGCCATTAAAGCAAGCTCTAGAGGTGATGTTGGTAGTAACGGAGATGTACGTAAATCTATGCATTTAAAACTGTCACGCGGCTATGTCATCGGCAGCAAAAATAATAACGCTGAAGATTTTGTTAGTAGCAGCCACTTTTTATCATTTACTGAATTTGAAATATTTGCTATATTGTAAATGTGTTCTTTCGATATTGGTTGATAGTGTGTTCAAAATTAATAGATTAATAACCCTTTCGGTTGCATTTTTAATATCGGTAGATTGAGCTTCAATGATTTATTTTTCTTCTATGGACCGTGGATTAAATGACCCTGCCTTTCTTCGGTTGAAATTGGATACCGCATATTTCCCCGGTCCTATGTTAGTGTTTTTCCCTCAGATTTACCGCTCTGCTCCCGCTTGCTTTCCGCTTCAATTAACACTTGACTATTTCCGTAGGCACCCGTTGGAACCTGAGCATAAACTTCCTAATTGGCCCTGTCTTATACTTATCGTTTATACAATTAGATGCACAATTAATTCCAATTAGCATATGCAAGAGAGTTTAAATCGACATAAATGTATGGTGCATAAGCATAGTCTTGCAGATGCTAGTATAAATAAGTATCTTTTGTAGGTACATCATTTTTGGTTCAGTATATTCCGGTAATTCCGTGTGTATCGTTTTTATTAGGCTCGAGTGAAAAAAAAAGTAGTTTTAGCGATCTAATAGGTGTTCAGCGCTGTTATTATCTATCAAATAGTGATCATCGCTTTTTCACATAGACTAGTCAAATCATACACTGATTCATTATATACATACTATATTATAGTTTTTGTTAGTTAGAGTTTACTCTTTACTTTTCGAAATTGTTTGAGCAGCTCATGATCGAATGAATGGTAATGAATGATCATGAGCTGTTCTGTCGTATTCCGGGTACATTGCATGATTAAAAAAGAAGGCTAAAGGTCTGTTTATTGGTATTTACTACCCTTCATAAGTATGGGATTGCTTACAAAAGTATTGCAACACTCATATTGAAAATTTTAGCATCACCCCAATTATTCACATTCTCTTTGGATGATGCAGTATTCAATATGATACTTTTTCAAACGATTTCATACTTATAACGGGTAATGTGAGTAGTGTTTTCCGCATTTATGACAACCGTCAGTTATGACAAATGGGCCTTATGCCAAACGGCGTTATGCCAAACAGCATTATTTTAAAATAGGTACTCCTATCCAAACAAGTGTTAAAAACTTAAATACAGTCATCTCATCTTTACTCGATATTGAAGTGACCATCGACTTGCAGAACAATAACTTCTGAACTCCCTCTCTAAAATCTCTAAACATTCCATGTTTTTTATAGACAGTCCCAAAGTTTTAAGAGCATGACCGTGTGCGAAGAAAATATTTGCAGAAGGATATCATGGATTCTAATATGAAATACGAAGCGTGCAATAGTTTATGCTTTGCTATGCTGTACTAACTCTAGGCAAGCGTGTCCAACCTTACAAAACTTTTTTTTCCACTGGCTGCAATGTTCGATGGATATGTTTCCAGCTGCATTTGATTTATTTCTTTCATATTCTGGCATAAGGTCCATTTTGCTGATGCCAGGATCTCAAATAATCAAACATTCCTAAAAACACCAAAATAACCCATAATTCGCAAAAATGGCATTGTAACTCTTAAATGGCTAGAAACATCATAACATTTAAGGCTTTTTAAGGAATTTGAAAAGAAATTTAATTTAAAGATTATTGAGATAACAAAAATTGAGAAAGTTCGAAACCAATTGTTTTTAGTTTTTATCAAAAACGGCTTGGATTTCTTAGTATTAGGACCTCACATTCGACTTATCAGCCGTCTGATGTTTGTCAATCTGCATGCATTATTACCATTAAATAGTCAGTTCATATTTAACCTTCTCCGTGTGCTCATTATTTTGGTTCATATGTATTCTTGAGAATTCAACCGAGCAACTATTGAAAAACATTTAAATAACTATTGATTTCGAACAAACACTTTTTTTATAGATTCGATAATTTTAGACTTTAAGGAACATTTTTGTTCTAGCACTTATTTCAAAAGCACATTTTTGCATCTCAAATCAATGAAAAACCTTATGGGAAGAAAAGGGTTAATAAGTGACTGAAAGCAGAACAAAGTTTTATACAAATTGAAAGAAAACATTTAAATTTAAGACCATGAAGAAGCTTTTGGACTGGGTTAAGTCAATTGCTGTCAAACTTTTGTTGACAGCGACCCACTATTGATATTGAGGAAAAAAAATACCGTAAATATCCCCATAACCCTTCTAGCACATACTTTTTTTGATACTCACAAAAATGGTCTTAAAACATCTAAATAGCTTGAAAAAGTCTGACATGTCACCAAAATGTCACCATGGTAAAAAAAAACTTCAATAGTTTAAAAAAACGGACCATCTTGGTAGCCAATATATACAGTCACCCCAGTATTATGGGCCAGCTAGTAACTATTATGGGTCAATCAGTTCTGCGTGTTAATCAAATAGAAATGGCCCATAATTGTGGGTGGCCCATAATACTGGGTGATTGTATTGAATACGTTTAAAAACGTAAAAATCGTCTTGAAATCCAAAAATCGCCCAAATATTAAACAAAAAACAGATTTCTAATATGATTTTACTTGTTTTTAGAATAAACATTTCGCAGAAATAATTTTAAGTAACTTTGAGAGTTGCACCATAAATTGTTAAAATATTGTGTACAATTATAACTGGTACCTTTATTAGAATTACGATTATCCTGTTCAAAACAACTGAATAAATTGTTGTTCATCAAATAAACCAATCTTGTTAATATTACGTAGGTTAAATGTTAAGTTCATCAAACATATCACATAAAATTACTTGCATCGCATCGCATCTCATTTGCTGTATCCATTATTGCTAACTTTGCACTAGTTTGTAGTTTGTAGTGTTTGTTGTGTGTAAGTGTTTCCCGTAGAAAAATGGCAATATTTTGACGAAATACCCTTTTTTTTATCCGTACTCTGTTTACTCGAAAACGCTTTTTAGGATGATAGTGTAATGTATACGTCCAAGGCCTCTCTGAAAGGTGATCGCCCGGTAATGGTTCGTCCGCTGTCCCGTAAGGATATCTTCTACTCGGGATCCGTCACCAACCTGAAGGAGTTCCAGTCGCAAAAGTCACTCACCAACTATCGCAACTCTGTGATTTCGTTGACCAAGTTCGAGCGTGATCACAGAAGTGATGTTGCCCGTGATGATTTGGAGAAAGGATCTGAACGTGAGTTACTTTTTTTTTTTCTTCTAAAGACTCGTGATTTTGGCTCACTATATAATTGGTTTCCATTGTAGAGTACTCCCTCTGTCCGTGTTTTGTGCTTCCCGAATCCTTCAAGAATGCCATCGGAGCAATGATGGATATGAGCTTACTCAAGGATCCGGTATTCATGATGATTGCCATTTCGAACATTTTCGGCATGGCTGGACTGTACGTCCCCTTCGTGTACTTAGTAGATGCGGCTGTGCTCGATGTAAGTTATTGACACATGGATCTTTCCACAAAATCTAATATCCTATATTGTTTGATTGCAGGGAATTGAACAAAATTCCGCCTCGTTCCTTATTTCCATAATCGGTATTACTAATACCGTTGGTAGGATTGTTTGTGGTTACGTTGCTGATTTCCCTAGTGTAGACGCCTTGTTCATGAACAATGTTTGCCTTGTAATTTCTACGTTTGCCGTGTCTTTGACGCCGTTCTGTCATACTTATCCTGCGTACGTAGCGATGGCGATTGCCTTTGGAATTGCAGTTGGTAAATGAACATTGCTTTTTGTCCTTCCACAGTGTGAATTCATACAATTATTTTCCATCCCCACAGCTGGTTACATCTCGTTGACGTCAATTATTCTGGTAGACTTGCTGGGGCTAGATAAGCTTACAAATGCCTTTGGTTTGCTGATCCTTTTCAGAGGGGCTGCCACAATCGTTGGCTCACCCTTGGCTGGAGCACTCTACGATGCGACAAAGACGTATTCGATTCCGTTCTTCGTTGCGGGTGGCTTATTTGGCCTGTCGGCCATATTCAGTTTTGCTGCACCGGCAATGAAAAGGTAAGTTTAATTATTTATCATATCTCAGTATCATTTACCGTCATACAATTCTAACTTAAGACATTGTTTATCGAAGACATGTTGAAGACATTTCTTGATTTGTGAAATTTTTTGAAAAAATGTTGAACTTGAGATTTTCAAAGTTTTTTTTTTTTTTTTGTTAATTTTAGGCAAACAATTGAAGATTTACTATAGAAATTAAGATTTTGACTTCACATTTTGAGTTCCTTCGTGATAATGTTGATTGTAATCAAAAGCGGTTTTTTTTAATATCACTTTATAAACCTTGTCGATGGAGTGTTTTACAATCGGAGTCTAGGAGGCAATGAACACTGTCCTTTTCTTCATCTTAAGGATTCCCAGATGATGCTCGGTAGCTTAGTGGTATCGTTTCTACTTACTGAGGAGAAGGCCCGGAAGTTCAATCCCAGGCCCGTCCCCTTCCTTGCAATTTTCACAATACATCACTTTACAATAGTGAATCCTGATCTAAAAATAACCCAACTCTCACTAACACAACAATTATATCCATCCCCATGGCAATTGTGGAGATGCAGGGGTATACTCTCGGTCTCTAGTATACTACGATTTAACTAATCATCCTTCCATCTCCCCAAAGACCGTGAGGACTTGGCCGGCGTCGATACTGATCTATAAATAGAATGAATCTGTGAACTTGTACATTGAAAATGGAAATCTTATCAGAAGCTTCATCAATGTTGGTTCTCTGTGCAATTTACTGGTCCAGATCAGTAGTAACATTGTAGTAACTATGATGTGCACGTCTTTTTTTTTTAATAAAAAATAAATAAAGATTCGTAGGAAGTACAAGTTTTCCGTGATTTTGGTTTTTTTTTTAATTCAGTGAACGCTATATTCAATATGTGATATCACTTGACTATGCTTTACGAATAAGAAAAATGTCCTTAATTTCTACGAAGTTACTATTTATCAAGCCCTCTTAATTATACCAAGATGTCAGTTCTTCTGTGAACTGCTCTGAACTTCCGGGAAGTTCCTCACATTTTCGACGAATATTCCTAAACATTTGGGCAGTTCCCTGAAATTGAACGTAGTTCCCTAAACTTTATTTTTTTTTAAATGTAATATCATTAACAAGCTGTTACGAAGTTCCTGAAACTGATACGAAGATATCTGATATCTTAGAAGTTTGTTGAACTTTTACAATATTTTTTGAGCTTCTATGAAATTTCCTACGTTTCCTGCATTTGCTACGTTTCTCGCTACAAAGTTTATTGCGCTTCTACGTTTCTCGTTGATTTTCTAAAACTTAAAAAGTTTCCTGAACTTACGTGGGTCATTGGGGTGAATTTCCCTATAACGAACGCCATTAGGTTAGCTAAAATTCAATGACTACTTCGTCTTACGGTACACCCAATTATAGGTACCGTAAAACGGGGAATCTTTGATAATGCGGGTAACTTTGATAGTATATTATAAAGATTAAATTTACTCGCTGGGCTTTTTCCAAATTAGAAACATTGGTTCCATAGTATAGCTTAGGGTATTTCCGTTGATATCGTTTATAGTTTTTTACATATTACTAACGAATTGACTCTTGGATACTCAGTACTTCTTCTAAAGATATAAAATTTGAAAAGCATTCATTGCTTTAAAAATTATTTAGAATATACTTAAAAAAAAACTATCAATGTTAACCCGTTTTACGGTAACTGAAACACGTTTACTTTTCCGTGCTCCTGTAACCATTTTGATTTCCATTGAACGGCCTTTGATTAGACCTAACGAAATTATTCGGAAAATCTCTATGAGGTCTGAATTTTCTATCGAACGAATTGTTTTGTTGATGTTTTCGTTGATACCGGTTAAAATATTTGGGTTGATTAACATGATTATCCCAATTATTTCGGTTCCTTTGTGATTTTGATTTTTCAGCGATGTGAATACACTGAAGTCTTTTTTCGATATCCTCAATTTGTTTTTCGTAGATACACTCTTCCTGTAAACATTTGACTAGTTCATTGAAGGTGTTATTTTTCTGTGATTTTGCCATATTTTTCAAGTTCCTATTTTTCAAACCTCCCAAAAAATGTATCCTCAAATTCCGTAGTGCATATGACTCTCTGCCTTTGGCATTATTTTCTTCATATTCATCCACGTGTTCTTTTAATGTTAATGCCCTATCTTTGTAATCTTGAAAGGATTCGTTTGGTCCTTGTTCCAAAGTTTCGATTTTCTGAAAAATTTCTTCCAGCTTAACATTTGTCCCAAATTCTCTTTCGAGATTGGTTCTCACTTCGGGCCATGTTTCCGCATAAATGCGTTTGAAATACCCTGATGCCGGATCTTTCAATTTCATCAAAATTACCTGAATTAAAGGTTCATGCGATTCTTCTACTGGCAATTTCTTAGCGAAGAAATCGCATTGGTATAAAAACGATCGTAATTCTGAGGCCGCGCCTCTGAACTCTGGAATGCATTGAATAGCTCTTTCAGTTGGGAACTCTGCCATTTTTTTGTTTGTTTTTCGAAGCAAACGAGAAAAAATGCGACTGTTTCTCAGTCTCTTATTAAATTATGGGTATTGCTATTATCTTCCGTTTTTGCGAATTTATTTGGATCAAAAACGCTTTCAGCGTAAATTCAAGACAAAATTATTTTTTTCATGTTTTGTGCTTTGTTAATTAAATTTGCCTGCTGGCCTTTTAAATTTGTTGAAATTAATTTAACGTTCCCTTAAAGTGGTTGAAAAAAAAGGATAATAATTACACCGCAAAAATTCTGAATTTTACTTATGATGTAGACATTGATGAGTGGAAACTTATATTTCATATCACGCAATCCAGCATCTTGCAAGAAATATTGCTTACAAAGATTAAATGTACAATATTTGAAACATTGCTTGAAACGTATCAGAACTTTAATCAATTTATAATGTTCACTTGTATGATATGAGACGCTCCATTTATGTGTATCTAGAATAGAACCTTACCATTTTTTTTAAACTGTGTACTCACCCTATCAGGAGCAGGATCAGGGTTATTCCTTGTTGAGTCTGCGATGAAGTTCCCAGATGAAGTCCCCATACTCCGTTGCGCATCCATGTTTCACTCCCGTGTTGAAGTGCCCAACGTAGAGCAACAACTCGCGTGGTCTTTCTTTCTCCGTAAAATGAAAGATAGTGCAATTCCATTTCTACTGTATGGAAAAAGCTTGATGAATCAGTTATCCTGAGGTTGGAACTGTGCTCGTCCGCACCTAGCAAACCTCGGATAATAAACTCATCAGAACAACTGCCCCGATTCTTTATTCTTCGAAACCTTTTATACATGAATTTGTTACTTAAACTCTACACAATAGTTTTTCTCCAGTATGTACATATAAAGCGAGACAGATAGCTTTTCTCTTGGAAAGTCGGTGTCTGTTTTTTTAACAAGAATTAATGCTCCTCGCGGTAGGAACGGCTATGTAGGATGCTTACTCATCAATGTTTACTTTGACCTTTCGCGAAGCACCTAGTTAAGCCAGCGCGCATCGCTAACGACGCGGTAGCAACTGTTTATAAACAACTGACCCTGGAAATGTGTGACATTGTCACTGCTGCTGATAAGTTGTGTATTTTCTCGTACCGTATGGGGGTCTATTACTGGTTAATTTCTTATTCAGATTGATATTGGAATTTGAGGCTTTTGCAGCACAGGTGATCCATAACTTTTCGGCCCATCTCATATTTGTCAAGCTATGCATTCAATAGTCAGTACTTATTTAAGCTTCTCCGTATGTTCATTATTCTCGAACATTTGTATTCTTGAAGATTCAACTGAGTTTCTATTGAAAAACAATTAGCATACTATTGATTTTAAATAAAAACCTTTTTTATGGATTCGATAATGTTAGGCTGTATAGAATTTTCAAGCACTATTTTCAAAAACGCTTTTTTGCATCGCGAAACAACCAAAACCTTTCTGAGAAGAATGGGTTAACAAACGACATTAAAGCTTGGAGTTTCAAGCTGGATATAATAAACATAACCAGCAAAGTTTTGCAATTGAGAGATATTAGTTCCATAATAGTGCAGGTACTCGCATAACAGTCCCATTCTGTTTATCATCATCACAGTTAACCACAGGAATGGTGTTTATTTTTATTGTACTTTTAAAAATCACACTGAAAATTATAGTTTCAAATTGTTTGTTGGGTTACATTCTCAAAAACGCAGATCACTCATAGACTGAGGAAGTTTTTCACGATTTTTCTCAAAAATCTGCTCTAGTATGACAAAAATCGATGACAATTCTCGATGAACATTTCAAATGGTCCTATCTGCTTTGAACGATTCTCTTCATCGACTTTCTCTTTTGATAACCACTGCTATGCAAACAGGTTTTGCGTTATTTTTACCTCATATTTTGTTAAAAGATGTTCTTATCTAGTGTCCAAAACGTTAAATACAACAGGGAAAGGTTATGCAGCTGAGTTATTAACGAAAGAAAAAGTCACCAAAGAGAATCGATCAATGCAGATAGGACCTTTTGAAATGTTAATATATGAATTTTATTCGAAGACTGAGTAAAATTCTTCACAAATTTCCGCGTATTGAGGCAAATCAAATTTTGTTTTAATAAATTGTCTAGGGGGAATGCGGGTAAAATAAACACAGCAGGTCAAATGCACACTTGATATTTTAAATAGAGAATTCATATTTTTTTAAATGTAAACAAATGAAGGGGTAGAAGACGCATCCCATGTAAACTTCTCAGTAATATGACAGATATAAGTCGATTGATTCAACAAGAGACTGCCGCAACATGTTTTCTTCAACTATGGCAAACATAATGATACCAACAATCAATACGAAACTAACGATTTTAAATTGGCTCACTACTTGACTAGCCTATTGGTCCCAAGCAAATCGATTAACGTACCCCATTCTAGTATAAATTCCAGTACTACACTATGTTTGTTTTGACAGATAAAATAAGGGGGTCGTGGATTTGCATATGTTTCGAGGGGTGCAT